AAAAAATAAAAAAATAAAAAATCTATAAATGATACTAGTGAATTTCTCATGAGTATATTCACCAACACCAGAGTACAGAATCAGACAAAAAGCAGACACAAACCCATGAACAGCAGATGCCACATACCAGAGGTGGCTGTGCAGTTCTCCTCAGCTCTTTAGTCCCAACCAAGAGCAAGGGCTGAGGGCACAACTCTCTCCCAGCCATCCTAAACAGCAACACAAAGTCACGCCCCAAATGTGCCCAGCACTGACACTTTCTGTTCTAGCCACACCGGGCGAAGTGACAGACTACAAGTGGCAGGTACAAGAAAAAGCTACAGCAACGGTCTTGAAATTGGCTATGCTCTACCCAAGGCAAGAGGGACTCAAGACCAAGGGGATTGCAGTGAGGAAAAGCTGCCCGGGGTACAGCAGCTTGAGCCCCACCCAAGGGGCTGGATGTGGCTAGTGGGGAGAGCTGAGTTATAGAAGCTAAGCAGAGGCTCATCCTTCCACCCCACGGCTGCTCTGTAGAGTGCATCCACCCTCAAATGGGGACAGCAGCTGCAGAGAAAAGTAATGAAGGGCTTACCCGGCCCTCTAGTCACCTCCAATCACACAGGCATCATTTTCAGTTTCACCTTCCTCATCAGCCGGGTTGTGGCCTGCTCTGCCACAAGCAAGTGGAAAGGTACTGCAGGGCTTTTACTTCCCTGAGGGCCTCTTGTAATGCCAGACTGCCTGATCTTACCAACCTTTACCCATCATGTCCTGAGCAATGAACCCAAACTTTGGGGACAGGATCTCACCTGAGGGCAGATGCTGATGTGTCCCTGTCCCCTGACCCCAGCCCACTCGCTACAGCTGACAGAGAAACCACAACCTTCATGATCACCACCTAGGCTCAGGAGAGATGGGCCTGCCACAATCCTGTGATGAGTAGACCTCTGCTTTATCTCACCCGCACATAAGCAACGACATCAACACTCTGGTCCAGGAAATTCACTGCAGCTGATTAAATATTCTAAGCCAGGCATGGTGGTATACACCTATAATCCCAGTGTGTGGGAGGCTAAAGCAGGAAGATTACTGCCAAGTTTTTAAGGCCTGCCTGAACTACTATACACAGAGTTCAAAACCAGCCTGAACTATACAGTGAGATCTTCTATCACAAAACCCAAACGAGCAAACAAACAAAAATAAAAAAACTAGGCTGACAAGAGAAATTGAAGCCTGAGGTGGTGGTGCACAGCTACAACGCCAGCACTCAGAAGGCTGAGGCAGGAGGATCACTGTGAGCTTGAGGATAGCTATGGCTACATAGTTAGCTCAAGGCCAGCCTTTTTTTTTTTTTTTTTTGGGGGGGGGCAGAACCAGGGATTGAATTTAGGCCCTTGAGCTTGCCAGACAAGCGCTTATTCTACTGAGCCATCTCCCTGGCCTTAACTGCATAGTAAGACCCTGCCTCAAGAAAAGAAAAAGAGAGGGAGGGAGGGAGAAGGAAAGAGAGAAAGAGGAGGGAGAGAGGGAGACAAAGGGGGGGAGAAGAGGGGGAAGAACAGGAGGAGAAGGAGAAGGAGAAGGAGGAGGAGGAGGAGGAGGAGGAGGAAGAAGAGGAGGAAGAGGAAGAGGAGGAAGAAAAGCTACATTAAAGTTCTATGAAAAAAAAAAAAAAGATTCATCCCCTATGTGTGTATGAAGCACACGATTCCTGAATTAGAAGAAATACCGTCCTGTCTGGAAATGTAAGTTCTTTTATGTCTATAAATTTAACATTTTCCTTGCCTCTTAAGCCTTTTTACATTTACTACAAAAATGTAGCAAGGTACATTTGCTACAAAACCTTCCAACAAGAAAACTAGCAAATCCTAACTCCAAATAACACACTGGTTATTAAGCTGCAAATCAACACCAAAACTTGCCTTCAGTTGTGGTCAGTTTGCTGAACTTCTCAGCTTAGCGGCTGGCTCTATACCCTCCCTGCTGCTGCCATGAGGTGGATGTTCAAGGATGACTGCCACAAGAACACAGGTGCATAGTCTGCGAGGATCCAGGGCTCTGACTCTCAGACTGTTCACAGACAAACGGAAGTACTTGGTTCCATCTGACACCACTATGGCTCAGTTTACGTGGACCATTAGGATAAGGATCCAGGTTTCTTCTGAAAAGGCAGTCTTCCTGTTTGTGAACAAGACAGTCCACAGTCCCGTCTAATAATGGGACAGCTTTATAAGAAGAAAAGACATGAGTCAGACTTCTTTGTAGCACACAACAGAGAACACCTTCGGCTTCGGAGGGCCAATGCTGAGCGTACTGTTCCTGCTTCTGTACCTTGTAAATAACCAGCCGTTTTCAGTTGCTCCACAGACCTCTCCACACACACCTATTAGTGCATCTGTAACTGGATTTCTTAATATACTGGAAGGCTTTGGGGCCGCAGACACAGCTCAGTGGTCTAAGAGCCTGCTTAGGCAAGTGCAAAGACCCAGGTTCAATCCCCGGCACCACATGCAGAGCCAGCTACCAAGACCAGGTGTGGTGGTGCACGCCTGTAATCCCAGTGCTGGGGAGGCTGAGACAAGAGGATCACTAACAGTCAGAGATGAATAGTAAGACCCTGTGCCAAATACATAAAATTTAAAAAATATATATGAAAGGTCTGTTTTCTTAGACTAGTAATTTATCCTTTATTCAGTTTTATTTTGAATTTTTCCTTTGCGCTTTGTCTTCATGTCTCTATTCTCCAGGGAACTGTCCCCTCCAGGAACAAGTGATACAGTTTTCTCTGAGAATCAATTCATGAAGGTATTTCCACAATGAAGTAGGATAGGTGCAGTGTTAAAGAGACGAGGAAGGAGATGATACATGTATTCTGAATTACATTTGAAGTGTTCGAAGGCTAAGTATTAAAAGCATCCAAATTAAATCCTTAGCTATCAGGACACTTCACTACATTTTGCTAACTGCCAATAATGTTGGACTGAGTTAATCTGTTCTTTCTGAAACTGTTAAGGTAAATAATAAAATTTCCTTTGTAAAGGCAAACAAAAGTTACATTTTTTCTTATGTAGGTCTTGCTTTATCTTGGTCTTAACCATCCAGCAAAAAATATAAACACGAGGTATAAAAAGTAAAGCCATGTTAATATGGTGACCTTGGGGGCCAGGGAGACAGCTCAGTAGAATAAGTGTTTGTCTGGCAAGCACAAAGGTCTGAGTTCAATCCCCAGTTCTGCCAAAAAATAAAATATATGGTGAGCTATAAAAGGCTCAAGTCAACAACTTCTAACATTGCAGGCCTGCGGATAACCCACAACTATTATGGCTGGACTATACTGGATTACTTTGCTGAATTCACACACCTACATTATTTGAAGGGCAAAGGAATACCCATCTCTGACAAAACTAAACAAAAAA